AATCATGTATCTTTTGATACATGACTGACGAGGCAGAATCTTCCTGCAGTAGACAAGTTACCATTCAAGGCTATAGAACCTGGTCTGTCCTATTTTGCCCATAACTGGGTGGAGAAGAGGTGGATTCATGCCTTGGACTTAGACACCATGGAGTTTGGATTCCAGTCAATCACATAAATTCCTATTTCAACTTTTAGGTTTTTTTTTTTTTTTAAAGTAGTAACAAATTGCACTAAGTTTAAATTCTTTGAATTGTAGTTGTGATAGAGTTGGTAGATAGAATAATATATCTGTCTTTGCTAAATTTGCCCAATTGATTCATTTTTTTTATTGAAATATTTGACAAAGCTGTCTTATGTTGAAAATGAAATAATTAGTATTAAAAGTATTTTCAATGCATTTCTAATCAAGTAAATATTGAAGGTTACAAATTCTGAGTGCTCTTAAATAGAATCTAATGAATCCTCTGGATTTTATTTTATGGTGAGAATAGAAATTTACAAGATCATTTTTGTTATGATAGACATTTTGTTCTAGATCATTATGGTTTAACATATCAAAGAAAGGTAACACTGTTTCATAATCATTCTATTGTACAAACAACATGTTCATTTTTCCCCTCAGTATATAATAGTAACTAACACTTGCATTTTTATTTCTGCTTGTACACAATTCCATCAACAAAATCATTACTTTAGTTCAATGAAGTTCTCTCTAGAGGAAACATTACCCAGTTTTCATACATACATACGGTGACCCCTACCCCCCAAACCCCCCAAAAAAAAAAAATTTGCAAAAGTCAATCTGACTTAAGGCACCTGAAGATACACCAGATGATGAAAGTCACAAAGAATCAACACAAGCAGGTCTTATATGCTATGTCTGTGGGAAAGTATAGCAGTCACTTGTTGGTTTCAAAAGTCACTCTAGGTCTCATAACTAATATTAAAAAGTCAGTAATGGTCATGCTAATTTAAGACATAACCAACAGATTTTTATTTGTTTGTTCCAAATTCTACACCAGTTTTATTTCTCAAGAGGTTTAAATTGTTTTATTGTAGATAACAGAATTTTTTATTTAACAGCAAAATTATGAAGATTTCAAAAGGATTTTTTTTTTTAGGAAAAATAATGAACCAAGTTTTCAGCAGTTTTTTTTGGATGACTTGAGAAGAATAATAAATATGAGATTTTTAATATTTTAAGAATTGAATGGTAGTGTCATACTAAACTTTTTTTTTTTTTTTTTATATATGCCTTGCAATTCATCAGGATCATGCAGTTTGATTTTAACTACAGGAACCTGTATATGGCAATTTTACATGTTTTTGTATGTAGTAATTTTGGAAGGAGTTTTTTTTTTTTTAATTGCTTGGATGCGACATATGAAGGGAAAAAGCACATTTCGTAAACTAAAACAGGAAATACATGCCGCTTTATTAATAAAACTGGTATAGTTATAAATATGATAACCAATTGAATTTGATTACTGGTTTCACATACTTGTGTCAGACTAAACTAAGCTTTGTAAATATGCTGTATGCCTGCACTAATCTGTATCAAACTATTGGACACCTCATTCTATTATAGTCGTTAGCAAGTTACCCTTACAGGTTATTACTTTTGTTCTATACTCATTGGGTACACATGTGTAGTCTTGAAACTATGAAGTAGCAAAACCTCACAGATTTAATGTAGAGTGTATGCCTTATTAAAAATGACATGGAACTTTTAAGTTGTTCTTTTCTTGCATGTGAAGATTCTTTTTTTTTTTTTAAAGTAAAAAAAATTATATTAGTTCATATCAAATACTTTATGCTAGTCTCAGCCATTTTCAGGGATTTGGGTTGTGTTATAGATGGTTTTGATGAGTAGACATTTTTAATACTTGAATATATCAAGTACATTCTGACTGTAGATATTTAAAGTGTTTTTAATGGATTTTTATAATTATTTTACAGTTAGAGATAAAGAGGTTTTTAACAAGTACATTAAAAATAAATATTCATAATGTTGGGCCATATAGAGTTATGGTCCAAAAAAGATGCAAGGTCAACCCTTTTGATGGAGTGGTGATATACCAAACAAACAAAAAATTCCTGTGACATTTGAATTCATAATATTGGTTTTGTTTGTTCCACTGAAGTTATTCTGCCTTCTAAGAACTGAGAAGGAACTTTTCAGTCATTTTTAATGATATACATTTGAAAGTACACAGTTGACCAAAATCATGCAAGTATAAATTGACAGAACTTTTCTTTAATATAGAATTTTGAGTTGTAACTGACAGTTATACCAAAACAATGAGACTGATTTTACATTTTACTCAAATGATGTATCATGAAGACTGTTGGCCCCTACAAAATTTTTATCACTTCTATTTGCTATACATTCATTTCACATGCCAAGTTAATTACAGAAGGAGTAGATATCAGTAATTTAAGTATTTAATTAGTTCAGCATTGTTATATTATCAAGACAACATATCCAAAGATAATTGGACTTAAACAGATAATCTACAGATGTAGCTTGGTAACTTTTTTCTTAGGGCTTCAAAAACTCAATCTCCTGCATACAGTCATGCAATGCTCTAAATTTTGTAAATTAAAGCAAGTAATTTTTTGCATGAAAACTAATCTGGACTTAAGACAATAGCATATTTCCCTACCAGTAATAGTGGTTAAACACTGTTTTCAGGTAAGCTCCTACTTTAAGAATTGACAATACACATGCTAAGCAGTTTATATGTATATTTAAATACCAGTACTAATTACTTTAGGAATATAAGCATTCCCAATTGGAGGTGGTAATTTTATTGAATTACCTATTAAAAGAATATTTAAACTGTTCCTATTTAACAAACAAAAAATCTTACTTGAGCGGTAGTGTTAGATTTTATGGTTACCTGTAGCAACCCTTATGCTATATACTAATTTAATAGAGAAATTATAGTACAGGTGTTAGAGTTGTTTGTATAAAAATATGTTCTGACAGTTATTCAGTTAAAATGGCACAGAGCCCAAGTTTGATTTGTCATTCAATGCTTTAGAAGTGTAGCTTTTTGTTGAACAGTTTAGTATAAGTTATAAAAAAAAAAAAAAAAAAAAAAGTTAAAAATGTATATTGATACTGTACAGTTCTAATAATTGCTATCATCAGAAATGAAAATCCAGAACAAGCCGATTAGTTCTGAATGAAGCAATTTGGATTATCGACTTTGGATAATCATTAATTCCCTTAATTTAAAAAAGTTAGGGTTTGATTATTCCGGTACAAATAAAAACTGCTACTAAAATGTAGCACTTTGAATAAGTACTATCATAGTACTTAATATCTAAGGATATAGATGTGACCTGTTGAAAGTTTTTATCCGACTAAAATGAATCTTGAATCAACCAAGTTATGTGCAAAAGTATGTTTAACAGTATCTATGGAAGACTAAAATCATTAGACTAAAATATGCTAAGACCAGCACAGTTGAAATTTGCATTTTAGTTTGTCTTCCTTAAAAAGATGAGGTCACTAAATGCATCTGACTAAGCACTCAAGACAGATACAGTTAGGTTCTGAAGAGTTATCACTATTTTTAATGTTTAACTATCAGTATCAATCTACTTTTGCTATTGATATTTTTATTTCTTAGTTTTATTGTAAATGGTATATAGTCACAAGAAGTTTAGTTATGCAGAAAAGAGCGAGTCCTAAGCTACTTATTGTATTGGTAACAAACTGCTTTTAAAAATTTTAATAAACTTTAGAGCAAATAATTATGAAAGGCAGGTATGCATAGCCAATAAAAAAAAAAAAAAAAAAAAAAAAAATTAACTTCTAGTAGAAGTTTTAGATAGTGGCCAAAATGAATATAAAATAAACCATTCAAATAATGAACTTATGTTAATTTGTTCTGTCACAAGATAAGATCATGCAATAACATACCATTTAAACATGCCCATTAACCATTTTCAGGACTTGAGTCCATAAAGTTATGTTGACAAAGTAGTCATAATATACTGCAATTCGTTTCATATTTAGAAGGCATTATGCCATTAAATATAGAAATTTAGTTCTTTCCAAGAGATTGAACCAGCCTGCCTGAAAAGGTCATACAATTGTCTAAGCCTCATTAATCAGAGCAAAATTTTACAGTATTGTAGATCTTATAATACATGTATCAAATATGGAAGTTTAAATTACCTGGAACGTAAGTAGTAGTGCATATTAAAAAAAATTACTTCAATTTGCTTTTGAAAGGAATATATTTAACTTAGATGTATATATATTTTCAATAAAATTGATACCTACATACAAATAAGAGTAAAAATCTATAAAGAGGGCCCACATTTAAACTTATTTTTATATCTTTAGTATACTATATCTTTAGTATAAATTATCAGTTTATTTTAGTGTGTGCCATGTTAAGTGTTAACTGACTAATATGCTTAACCACAGGACTCTGGGATTGATGTTCTGCATTAAGCAGTTAATTATTGCAAATTTGAATCAGATTCTTTTTACTCTTAAACAGAACCAGAGATAGAGTGTTACAGGAGGATATTAGAAATATTTCAGAAAATATAGATTAATTCTGTTCATGTTGAATTCTTAGCAGTAAAATGTACTTATATTTAGCTAAGCCAAAAACTACAAGATTGGTGCCTGCATGTTGTAGGGTTGTTAGCATGTTAGTTTTTCAGTTCAAATTTGGACAGTTTTCCAATTATAGAAAACTAGTCATTTTTGTGAGTAATTAACCTGCAATTTTTTTTTATTATTCTATATAAATGTAACCTTCAGCGTAAATAGTTAAAAAAAAAAAAAAAAAAAAAAATTAACTTAATTCTTGCATTTCAAAAAATAGACTTAATTAGAAATTTAGTATTATAGAAATTAACATTAGTTTAAACCACTTTCAAATCAGATTCTATTTGTTCCCATAAAAAAAAAAAAAAAAAAAAAAAAAAGATTCCCTTAAGCCTTGAAATTTTCTATTTTATTGCATCCTATGTACTTTTGCGTATGGCAGATGCCATTCTTCTTTTAGCAGCACATCTGAATCTCTGCATTTTTGTCCTTTTTGATTTGTTCTTTTTCTTAGATTCTGAAAAAGAAAGATTGTAAGCATGAAAAGAACCCCAAAATCAATTCAACAATACAAATTTTTGAAACCTAAAAATAGGTCTCATTTTCAAGTAACTTATTTTATACTTACACTAATTACAATCTATGTTAATAGTCCATTTTATATAATTTCTAAACCAATAGTTCACTTGATAACAAGTATCAATGATAAACAAGGATTATGAAGTCTTCATGTACACCACCCACATATCCAAGCCTATGGCACCTAGTACTCCCAAGAGATTACCCATGTAGGTACTAACTAGGCTCAATGTTACTTAATTTTGGTGATTGTACAAGAAATGGTGTTTTAACATGGTACCAGGAATACCATCAAATTATGGCTCATTTTGTATGAAGGAGAAAAAAAACTCATGCTAGGTTTTAGTCAATTGTTAATTACCTTAAAGAATTATCACAACTAACTATTGAGTTCAAGAAAAATCAGAGCTTCAGCAAGTACATAATGTTTATAACAGGAAGAGAAAAAAAAAGGTACTAGCTCCTCACAAGATAAGTATTTTTCCTAAACCTTGTCATTACCTTTTATATCTTAATAGGAAAAAAAAAAAAAAAAAAAAATTTAACACTAAAAAGGTATTAATTACTCACCTGATGAGATGAAATATGCGTTAGAGTCTTCAGCAGGTTTAGACCCACGTTTCCTTTTCCTTGTAGATTTAGAGAAACCTGTAAAATACAGAATTAATTTAAGACTGTCTAGTTTAAAATTTTATTTCTATTTGAAATCTGAAGATATAGAAGGTAAAACCCATCAAGACATTATTTTAAGTATTTTATAAAGCTTTAGTATCAATGACAACTTTAAATATATTTAAAGTGAAAACATTGAAGCATTAAAATAACTCATTGGATATCCAAGAAATATGCACATTAAGGAACAATAAAACATACATAATTTAAAAAGGTTTCCCTTTCATTTAAGCTTCACTAAATGAAATATGTAAGCAAAAACTGTATGTCTGATATTTTTATCAATATCTGGTAGTTGTCCATATATTGAGGGAATATGAGTGAAAGAATTTTAAGTTACACTGGTTGTGATTTTAGGTAAATTCTTTAAGTGTGGATTTTATAATTGGTGATAAAGTGTTTGATGCATTTATAGATGGCAAGATATTTATCAAGATTTGCTGAGTATCTGTTTAATAAATTCTGAAAGTTATGAATTGTTTTATGAGCAAGTAAAGGGTTTGTATTTTAATCAGTTAAATTATTCAAGTGCACATTTAAATGATTTTACTTGTTGCTACATTAGCTTACCTATTACATTTTTCATAGCATCTGGAATGTTAAAAGTATATCCTGAAGTATCTGTAAAGAAAAATAAAGACATTACCATAGCAGATAAACTTATTCAAAAAGCTGAAGATCAGATGAAATAAAGCATGTCTAAACACTGACAGTATTCTGTTTAGATATAGAATTTTAAACAAGATTTTTGACTGTCAACTTATGTAGCAAATCAAGAGCATTTTGATAAAAGAAAAAAGTGAATATAATATTATAAATATAAAGAGTTACCAGGTTCAATCTTCCTCCTTTTGGACTCATTTTCAGTATTTGCCCAGCCTGAAAAGAAAGAAGTTTTTACCAAGAGGAGGGGAGAAAAAAAAAAAAAAAGTGAAATATCCAATGCAGTTTAATTATGAATTGAGTGACATCTACCTTGTGCTGAAACTTTAGAAAAAGTCCAGTTGAATGATTTAGTACTTTAAAGAAATATCAGCATAAATAATTTTCTGCTTAGGATAGAAGATCAGAACCACAGTAACTATCTCCCATCATTAGTATAACTACTGAAATCTTTCCACAATATTTTAAAAAATATATTTCATGGCTGTAGATGTGTACAAAGTACATTTTAGACAAGGGCAGAGAACCCAGTGGTAAACTAAAGAGTGTCAGCTTGCCCAATGGCAAGTGAGTTGCTGCACTCAAATAAAAACAATCAAGAAACTTGGTAATAAAAGGAATAAGAACTTTATAAAATTATTTGCACACTAAGTTACTGAAGTCCAATGTGAGACTGTCAAAGCTAAAGATCATGAAGGTCAAGAAATTTATTAAGAATGTTATCCATTGAAAAGGAATTTTTAGATGAATTGGATACTGAAGCAATTGGCAGATTCAATCTGCTAGTGAACAGACAATTGCTCTTAATGTAGTGGACTGCATGCAATGCACCATTGTGCTTCTGAACTGTTAGTGTGTAAATGGTGCAAACTATTTGAAAATATCAATTACCTAAAAATTTAAAAAGTCAATAACATCTTGTATTTACATTTGGTAAATACTAGTAATATGTACATGTATACTAATTACCAAGAGATTCACATTTTCAATTTTTTTTTTTAAATTTTAAATTGTATCCTTTTTCATGTATTTAAAGTTTTATTTATGAAAAATAAATAGCATTTTAGTTGTAGTGCCTTTCACTTGTCTGACAACCAGTATTTTTAAACCCAGTTTGCCACTGCGGAGTATATAATAATAATAATAATAATAATAATAAAAAAAAAAGTACATAAGCTACTACCATTTTGTCTATATCTTTTGGTTGAATATATCAGTAGCTGCATATCACATCCAAGGCTCCTGAGGAGTTTATAGCATGTATTTTAGCAGGTTCTAAAACTATCAAGTATATTTCTAAGGTAGCATAAAATCAGATTAGACACGAATTTATGGAATTCACACAGTATATATTTTAATGCCATCCAAAACAATGCAATAAAAAACCCCTAAGACATAAGGAGTGTGAGTAGTAAAAAAAATTAAGAGTTAATGATCAATCACACAGTTTGCATCAAATATGGATTGGAACTAGACAATAAAAAATAGGAAACATTTATCAACCTAACAGGTTTCACTTATTAAAGCCTGAAGGAATGAAGTTCTGGTATTTTTACTTTGATTTTCATTGGTTAACCTTGTTCCACAAGTATTGGACTTGTTAAATTTGTGCTATCCCAAATTAAAAAGGCGAGACATCTGTCCATTATAATTATAGTCCGTTTCTATAAGCTACACTACAGTTATAGATTAAAAGTATAGGATCAAGTAGCATGAATTTAATATTAAAAGTTTTCCAAATTATGTGAAAATTTGGTTTCATTAAACTCCAGCAAAAATGCAAGACTTTGGTTAAATTCTTTAAGTAACTTAAATCACTACTTTAAAACCTTATTGCTGAAAACTTAAAGGCCCACAAGTAATAAATTGGCAGCATGTGACTTATCTCTACCAAGAGTAATTAGTTTCCATTTGCAGCTACTAAAAGACATGATACAAATACATAATCTAGCACCAATTTATGCACTAAGTCTAAAGCTATTTAAGTAGTATTTGTATAAAAATGAAGGTTTCATAAAAAAATATACTTGAGTTCAAATCTAACCTTGCTATAATCTTTATAAAGACTAAGATCATGTTTCAAGAATGAAGTGATTAACATACTATAAAAATAGGTAAACATTTAAGTTTACCTAACTATTAACATGAAGTTTCTCAAAGTTTAACAAAAACATCAACTTACAACTGTCATAATTTACAACAAAAGGGTATCTGCTGTAGACGAATGGATTCATTGGGTCTTTCATACACTCCTAATGAAAGAAAAAGTTTGTCAAAAATTGAATCAATAACTTACTAACAATCATAGAAAAAAATTTCAATATTTGTTCAGAGATGAGCAATAGATTAAAAACTATCAATTTAAAAAAAAAATTTTCAAATCACTTCCCACCAAGCAAGGCAATAATGCCACTAAGACAAGGTGCCACTGGAAAAGAACCAGAAACCTAATCCTAAACAGGAAACAAGGGATAAACCTCTACTCCTGTAAAGTCTGCAGAGGAATTAACCAGAGAAAATTATTTAAAAAGTGTATGTCTATATTTCTGAGATGAGATTATGTATATTATTCAGACTATTGTCCTCATCTTTGTCGCCATATTGATCAAGATTTCGGCCGTTGTATGCTCTGGCCTGAATTTCGAACTGAACCCTTTATTTCGCTCATTGGGGTAGACTGTTCTAGTTCCACGTGCCATGTTTGATGGATGTCATTTATCAGTTATCTCCTGGTAATTTTCCCCTGAAAGTTCCAGCTATTGAACTCACTCTTTGGGTCCTGTCACTGGATCTAACCAACGCCTTTATCCACTGTACCATGTGTCCTTGAGGACATTGTGTATGAATTTCTGGGTATTATAAACCTAATGTCTTTAGCAACCATTTTTACCAGTGCTCATTGTGACAAAGTTGAGGACAATAGTCCTAATAATGTAAATAATGAACAAATGTATAGTTAAAATTTATCATTTAACATTTTTGTAGGTGATATTACAGTTATTTATAGTTTCAGATCTTGATACTATAGATTATTATTGTTACAGGAAAACTTACAAAGCCATAGTGTCCTTTTTCTCCACAATTGTAGCAATAAATACGTGTGTTGGCAATGCAATTGCTTGTTACTAAGGGTCCTCTTGTAGTCTAGAAAAGAAAAAGAATTAAAGCTCTTCCTTTACTTGCAATCATTTAGTCTTATGTATTTTTCTTTGAACTGAAATGTTAGAGAGATACAGTACTTTGAATGTTAAAAGCAAAAACCTTAACAGGAAGGAACAATTTTCAGTTGCAGAATTGTTTATGCTTATAAGATTGTTTTCAGACCACCTTTGTACTGGAGAAATTTAAGCAAATACTAGTAAAACTGACCAACTATTGTAATCTTGTAACAGTCCAAGATGAGAACTAATTGGTAGCTTAGATATATTTGATCAATTTATGTCCGTGGTCATAATTAATAACTAGATAAAAATAAAATAAGAATGCTTACAGTGTAACGGTACCGACGCCATAAATCAGGACAATTCTGAAGGAGAGAGGGAAAGAACTTTCATACTTTGGGAATTATAGACAAGAATTTTATTAAGAGGGATTCTATCAAATGAAAGTGGACTGAGTTTTAGACATGAAAAAGTGCTTTATGGACTATTTAAAGTACAGCATATTAATTTAATATCTTGCCAAAATTTGCTGACAGTTGTGCAGGAAACCTACTTATTGGGGAAAAGTCATGCAAATAAGTGCAGGCACACTTCACTTGCAAGTTGTGATGAAGTTTAAGAATCACTCCCCCCACCCAATATAAGTTGTCTTAAGCAATGTTACATTTTTATTGTATGAAGGAAGATTAAGACATCACATAATACAAGACTCAAATAGACCAGATTTGAAAGTGTATTTTAGCTCATAATATCCTTATATCAAGTAAGGTTTTCATCCCACTAAGAGTACTACAAACAACTGTACTCAAGATACCAATATTTTAAGATACTTACAGGTTGAATATGTCCAAACATTTGACATCGATAACAGGTCACATAGGAATTTTTAGTACTTGGACATTCTGCAAACCGGTGACCAGGTAGTTTACAGTTGTAACAGAAAATATATGGACACTGTTGCCGTAAGTGACCAAATTCTCCACACAAAATACAGATTTCTCTCTACAAGAGAGCAAATGAGATTTACTTACAAGATTGTAGTATACTAACCTTGCTACTACAAGTTGAAAGTTGATTATCAATAATTTAGCAATTATTTAATGTCTGTTAACCTGTATATTCCACACCAAGACTGTACAGACTTATAATTACTATTCAAATAATTAGTATAAGTAATTAACATAAATACTAGTGTAATGAAAAAAATCTTATAAGCAGCAAAAACACTAAACCTCATGCAGTTTTTATTTCTAAGGGAGATAACTGATGTATTTTAAGCATATTAGATTTTCCAACATACTTCTATATGACAAAAACAAACCAATTTAACATTAAAAGTCAGAAATTTTAATTACTATAAAGATTTAACAAATTCAAACTTACACTCTTTTGATTACAGTCCCTGGAAAGGTGGCCTACTTCGTTGCAATTGTCACAATGATATGCTCTAGTGGCACGAACATCTTAAAAAGAGCATTAAATTAATTTTTGAGAGTCATTACATATAATCATAAACATCTTAAATTAGAAGTTTATCTACAGTAGCAATACCACATTTACAATTTAAAATTTCTATACAAGGCAGTTATTGTTTTTTATAACTATATACAATTAAAGAAAGTTACTAAATCTAAAGTTTAGGTAGAGAAAAAGGCTAAGGAAATTGAATTTGTGTTCATTTTCATATTTACAATGTACATTGTAAAAGGGTATAGATGCTACTTGCGTTTTAGAAAAAATTTAATTGAAGTTACCTGTATTTCTTAAAAGTGGCCGTCTTATTACTCTCATTGGATCTCCTTCATCTAATGTATTGGGTGGATTTTCTTGTGGAACAAAAAATTACAAAAAATATTTAAAATAAATGTCAATTTCTACATGATCCAAATAGTAAATATTTTTTCAATAAAATAAAGCATTAAATGAAACAGCATAGCAGAAAGGATTTTGTTTTAATTGCTAATTTAGCAAAAATAAGTTTTTCAATTTGTACCTAAAATCTTCAAGAGGAAGATGAAAATTAGAATTAACCAGGATTTTGCAAGTACAATCTAAGTTGCTAATTCAATATGTACATTTATTTTAAACTCTTATTAGTTTTGTAGAATGCAAGTTTCTATTTAATGTTTTCAAAGAAATTTACCAGAAGCACTAGCACCATCAAGCTGTTTAGAATTGTAATGCAGTTGACTAAAAAGTTCCACTTCAATTTCTTTCCAGTCTTCCTCTTCTTGTTGCTCTTCATCAGTATCTGGAGATGGGGGATACACCCTTAAAAAAAAAAAAAAAAAAAAAAAAAGAGTCCATGTCAGTCAAGTATCAAACACCAGATTCATGTTTAAACTATGGCTTACTTAATTTAAGGATAAATTTACTAAATTACAAAACATTAATATCTCTTAGTGAAAGAGTCACTATGTACTATTTAAAATTCCCAGTTTCAGGAATATCCCCCTGTAGTGGGTATTCTGTTTTTCAAATACCAAAAAAGTTTTTATAATAAAAATTGTCATTAGCACCCTATGCTCCCAATTTTATTTCCCTGCTTTTGGAACAAGTAACCCATTATTTGAAATCCCATTTATCTTAAATTTAAAAGTGCTCTACTTATTTGATATCAACCGAGTCAAAATTAAGTAGTTTGTTTTAAAGTAGCTTCATAAGTTAATTACTAAAGGCAAACTACTCACCTTAGAGGAAATGTAATCATTAAAAATAGTTAAAAATCAGTAGAGTATAATGAACACAAGATCATTTAAGAGAAATTTTGGCAATATACGGCATCATGTAAGGTTGCAGTTAAGCCTACCATTAAAGTACTTTCCATGGCTTAGCCATGACTTGAGTGGCAGTCAGTATCATTAAGTACATGTGTCAGTGCAATAACAGAAGTGGCATGTTTGTTAGGTAGAAGCTCATTATAGTAAAGTCAAGTGTGAGCAAGTAACAGGTTTTATAGAATTCATTACTGTAGTAATATACCTGTAGTAATCAGTTTCACAATCCTTGTTACAAGGGAAAAATCTGCCTGCTTTTATGAATCTTATGCAGATTTTTTTCACACCTACCTATAAGCATTTAATTAGCCCTAAGGCACTAGGTAATTTACATGACACAGGAAATTGTCTTTCAGGAAGATAGGTCATGTCTATTACAAATACTGGAGCAAAAGTATCAAGTTGACCCTCACTGAGGGAGGAAAAAATTAAAGCTGTAAAAATATTAGGTTCAGTTTAAGTTGATTAAAATAGGAATTGATTAATAGTGGGGAGAGGGAATTTATCCTACTCATGTCAAGGGATATAACTTTGGAAGTCAGAAATTAACTTTTCAATTTAATATACACACACACAGGTAAATGACATTCACTCCTGGATTCAGTAGCTCCATCACAAGCTTCCAGTCACCAAGTCTGGTCAGACACTAGCCAAAGCTGGCCAGAATCAGTTCAGCCCATCTTGACAAGTATTTTTCATTAAAGTATTGACAAACATTAAACATTGCTTGTAAACCCAGGCTTATCTGTCTATCAAAAATGCACAAAGTTTAGTTTCCAGCATTTTCGATTGGTTAATACTATTACTACTACAAAAATTAAGTAGACTATACAAGTCAGAACTTGCAGTTCATTACTAACTTCAAAAAGTTTAGACGGATGAAATTGGTGCCTAAGTAATCTAAAAATCTAATGTGTAAATACATCAGCTTAAACATTGCTCAGTCATATCAAATGAGCTACCTCATTTTTTTAACATGAGGACTACCAGAAGTCAATTACAAAATCCAAGTTCATAACTCACTTTGGTAATAATTTTTATGGTTTAATTTATAGCTTCAACTAAAGTCTTAATTTTCAAACTAAGAAGTATCTGAATAAACTGTGTGCCTGCAGATGAAGAGGTGTCCAAAAAAGAAATCAAGCACAAGAACTTAGTGTCATAATAAAAACTGCCAACAGGACAACTTGTTTTTGGAAGTCAATATTAATTGAGACTCATTTTCAGGTAAAGCTAGCAAGATTCATGCAAATTATAATTTGGTATGGGGTGGGGTCTTTAACTTTTGAAAGAATCTGTAGGACCAATGATAGAAATATTTAAAGTTTGGTTTAAAACCAAATATTGAAAATTAACTTAGTCAGTTCTATATACTAATTCTAGATATTAAAAGCACAACACTAATAGTTAATATACAGTTTCCCTATAACATTTGTATAGAGTAAACTGATTAGATACTTATATTCAAAGACTTAAGCTTTGGAAGGGTACTTCAAGTTATAAATACTTAGTGACTGAAGAGTTAATAGTTCAGTGTTAAGCTTACTAATAAATCAGAAACTTCATGCTCCATGAATGTAGCTTGTCAAAGTATAAACATTTAGATTAAAAAGGACTAAAGAGAATTTAGATTTTAACTCACCAATCATCATCATCCTCTCTTTCATAGAGATTATCGTTATAAGCCCACATTTTTATTCCTGTAAGAATAAAATAAAGTTAGTAAAAGTTACAAGCTTGTTGATACAGGTGTATCAACTGAACTATATTGATAAATGTGAAATTCAGTTTAACAATAATGGTGATATTTATGCATGCATATTTTCAGGAGCAACAAGGGCAGAGGCTAACATTGTATATCTAGATCCATAAGACTTAGGACTTATATGCAATTTGAGTAAAAATAAGACCTATAGAAAAAGGTAGCTGGTGTATAGACTCATATAGAAAGGTTTGTGACAGTAATGGACCGAGAAAACGGCAAGAAATTAGACAGGGTATAGATTACTTAATACAATAGATCTATGGGAATAAGTGGTTATTTTAAAACTTAAAATACACATTTAAAGTTAAAAATTTCAAGAAAGCTGTGTATCAAAATACATTTTAAATCATGCTATATACAAGATAATACTTTTTAATAGTTTAATGAAGTAACCAATAATTTTGACACCTTTTATGTAAGCACTCTTCAAATTGTCAGTTACTTTTTTTTAATAGGGTGTTGAGTAATATGCTGCTAAAAAAGTGATGCTGACGTGGATTTACACCTGAAAGACTACATAGCCAAAGCTTTGAAAACCAGTGTCAGTGGTTAGAAAGGTAATTGTGTCAGTTAACGCTAACCGCATTAAAAACAAATCAAATGCTAAAGAGAGGGATATGTGAAGTTTGAAACTAGGGTTAAAATTCGGTTTAGCGAGAATCTTGATTTGCCGAAAAGTATGCGCTTTCAAAGTAAATTTAAAAGCGTTTTGATTTAAATAAGCTATTTTAATAACTAAGAAAAGTAATGAAAATTAGACACTAGCCTTTCAATAGAATTTGCGTACCTCTTTGGCTAAGAAAGTTACTAATCAATTGACAATATCATGACCACGTTTCATACAACTTGTGTATGTAGACAACAGTAACACTTTCGCGTTTAGTTTTCTAAGAATTAAGAATTTAATAAATGATTGTCTAATAAAACGAGGAAAATAACGGACAATGTAATGGTAGTGAATTAAAGTTGTTTTCTATATATGCCCCCCCCCCCCCACAGAAAAGAAAATGTGCTTTGTATTTTTAAAAGTTGTGGCAACGTTAACAATTTCAACTAAATTATCTGTTATTACGTGATATAATTGCCGAGTAAAGTAACGGGCCGCCAGGTGACTTGAAAAGTTTCTTCCAATTGTAACAGTAAATCTTTAAAAAAATTAATTCATATTTGAAAGTTAAAAAATGCAGTCAAGTCAGATTATAGACACAGTTCGACAAGTTAAAAAAAAAAAAAAAAAAAAAAAAAAAGACGATGCAGAAACAATACAAGTTTTGTTTTTACAAAATGAGACTCCAATGTTAGTGACCAAGGAAAAGTTTCTAACTTTTTAGTTAGATCTCACGTACGTACGTTTCTGAATTTACGGACAGATTTTTTTTCTTTAAGAAAACTTTTTAAAAAGTCAACTTTCTTGCGAAGTCGTTTAGTTTTCTACGCACTAAATGTAAAGCAAATACTTTTTTATTATAAAAAGAGCACTTAAATTTACCAAACAAGTATTTGGAAGTATGGAAAACAATATTGGTATTATGTAATTGGTCCGGGGAGAGTGCATGAAACTGCATATCGTAAGTAAAGTCATAATTATAATTGTTTTTTTTTTGGGGGGGGGGGGACCAAACACTGTTTAGCTGTGCCATACCGCCACTTACCTCTTTTAACACGTACCAGAAAACAGCTACTGACAAAACTCCGTAATTCGAACTCTTTTGTAGCTGAAGACCGGAAAAATAACATTTATAAGAGCAAAGACAACTTCCGCTAATCACAAATCAGCTGTTTTATTTTTTTTACAATGCCGCAGCCAATTAAGGTAAGTAGGTACTGTTAAAACTCCCCCCCCCTTTTTCTTTCTTGGCATGAGGTGGAAGAAAATAGCTATAACAAGGCAACAATTACACACTGGAGCAAGACAACTTAGGCCAGTGCTTTTTTGACATTTAGCATTTATTTTTCTCGAATATTGTACTCGGCTTCTTCAGCGAAGTGTTTGTTTGTTTGTTTGTTTTTTTGGCGGGGGGGGGTCCATCATAAGACTTTTGAAACTCGTTACACTGCACCACAACCGATCCTGTTTGGCGAGAAAGCGAATAACGCTGCCAATTATTTGAATGGTAGTCAAGAGTTTCATTTCTTTTAATTTTTAAACTGGTAATCTAAGTTAAAAAAAAAAAGTAGTTGAAAAGAAAACCGAAAGACATGAACTGCATAAGTTAGGTAAGATATATTTTTAAAGTTACTTTTATCTTCCATAATACTGGAGTGAAAAAAACTAATAGCAATTTTCCCCGAAAGTTTTTGAAAAGCGGGAATTTACTGGAGAACTTACGGGCCATGTAAATTTTTTATTTTTTGGTGACGTTGGCCTTAGTTTTCAAACTTTAAAGAACTAGCTTGTTTTTAAATTTTGCTTACAAATGCTAAAGTGAAATACTTTGGTGGTTTTTTTTTTTTATTCATGTCGAAAGTTTCAAATTATCACTTAAAGTTAAGTTTGATCTGTAAAAAAATCTTAAATGCTAAAATTGACTATATATCAATTTCTCAGTGCATTCGTAATTTTTAAAATTTTATTCAGCAATGCTGCATAAACAATGATTTTTTTCTTTTCAAAATTGTTACTGGAGATTTGCCTGTTCCTTACGTAATTGATATCCTATTTTCTCATGACTTTTTACTCCATATTTCCGTGCAATCTATTGCATCAAGATTCAAAATGTACATTCTGTTTTCAATATGTTCACTGCACGCGGACTAAAAAATAAAAAAATCGGTCACTAAACTAAATTCCTGTAAGAGTTGCCAGTTATCTCCCTTAGATTAATTTCGAAACTAGATTAAAAAAAAAATTGTTACGAACGTTTTTTCCTCATTTTTCAATACAAGACACTGTTAAAATAAATGCAACATACAGCGTTTATGAAATATTTTTCATTACAACCAAATATATTTAAAAAGTAACTACTGAAATTATCTAGCTAAAACAGTTCGGGCTAAAATTCAATGTTTTTTTCTCCTCTGTTTTCTGTCAACCATTCACACAAGAAGCCCGTAGGTTGTCCCAGGTAACGCTAAAAAAAGTGGAGAAAAAGGTCCCCAAATTGATAAAAAAAAATTTTAAAGTGTAAATGATTGTTAAAATTAAAGAGGGGAGACCAAGGTATTTTTTAATTAAAAAAATTTTTTTTTTCATTTGCAGCATTTTTTAAATTTAGTTTGAAAACTTTTTTTTTTTTTTTTTTTTTAGGTTAAAATTAGGTTAAATTAGCATTATTTTTGTTTTCACTATTTTCAGTTGGAAAATACACATTGATTTGGAAAATCTTGCAAAAATCAAGTACTTGTTGGATTTTTATGAAACTTTCAGAACTTATTCACAAATGAATGAAATTATTTTAGAAATGTTTGTCTTTTTGAAAGTCATAGTATAAATATTTTTTTTATGTTACACCCCCCGAACTTAATTTTATGAAAACTTCAAAAATTTACTTTTGTATCTGGATCTTTTTTTATTATTAAATGCACAAGAGTCTGAAGATTCTAAATCATCTTTTTTTTTTTTTTTGGTAAAAAAATGAGTAGAATTGTCCAAACTTTTACCTCAATTGTAAACATACAAAACCCAATAAAACTAAGACAATATTTAATTAAAGCTTTTTATGACTTTTCTGAATAACATATACTACGGTAATTCTTACCTGGGGGGAAAAAAAAAATTTTGAAGAAAAATGAATTTTTACAATAATTTTTTTCTTTTTTTTCTATTTTAAATACACAAATGACAAAATTCACAAAATATTAAAATATATTTTAAAATTAAGTTTCTTTATGTAACCTCATGGAAATGACATATTTTGTTCTCTACTTTTTGAAGATCATAAATTTGAAAGCTTATTAAAATCTGACAACCAGTGATATTTTTAAAATAATTCTTTAATATTCCAAAATTGTATTTAATATCGTCTCCAACGAAAGTATGGATGCACAGCTTTGAAATAACGTCACGTGAGGTAGTTGTTTCCCTTGATAGAAGCAAGTTCTTTTTACTTCAGAAATTACTTCGCATTCTTTCTGTTGACAACTAACCAACGCTTGTCAAGTTTTCTGACTGAATATCGTCGCATTTTCAAATTTTTTTGTCTTCAAATATAATCAATTTGTTCCTTTTTTCTTTTCAGTTTTTAAATATAATCAATTTTTCTTTTTTCAGTGAGACAAACTGCAAAATATTTTTTGTTTTATTCATTTTTTTTTTTTTTTTTTTTTTTTACGGAAACGGCGAAGGGTTTTTTAGGGGACAAGAGTTAAGGTTTTTATTTTTGTTTTTTCACTGTATATTCTTTACTTTGTTTTATTTACTGTTTTATAGTGAGAGCCGTAAATTGTTTTTTAGTTTTAACTTAATTGAAACTAAAAAAAACAATTGAAATAAAAAAACGGAGGTCTTGAGGAGCGTGGAACCACCTTAATTGCTGTTGTTCCTAGGTTCACTCTGACCCAGAGTGGTAGCACCTGATAGGGTCCCAGCTGTGGGTAAATAGTGGGATAAAACAAAATATTGATCATTTACAACTACAAAAAAAAAAAAATAAATAAAAAAACCACCCTTGGAAGTGCACCCGAATTTTCAAGTTTGAAATCGATTGCATAGCATTTCAATGTTAATAAATAAAATATGTATAAAACTCCCATGACTGCCATATCACAAGTATTAATAAATAGAAAAAAAATCTGCCTTAATAAAAAGAAATAAATCTCATTTCATTAAGTTAACCTGTTTCAATTATGAAATTTAATGTTTCATGTCATTTTTATATTCTCAGAAAAATATTTCATGACAAGTAATAAATATCAATTTAAAAAAAATGTTGGTACTGTTTTATTAATTTTTACTTCTAAATTTTTTTTTTCCATAATTTAAATGTTATTTTCAGTGCAGAATTTTTCCCCAAACGTAAAGTTAAAAAAAAAAAAAAAAAATTTGAAAGTGAATTTTTTTTTAATTTACTAACCAGTTTCACTTAAAATTAGAACGAATTATATCACTTCTGTGCTACCGTACGATAAATTCCCCTGACGTAAGTTGTCAATATATTGACATACATCAATTAACACCCCTCAAACACGCGCCACAGCAAGCACCAAGGTTGGAAATATTTCTATTAAAAAATTTTCTGCTAAAAAAGTAATGTTTCTTTCAAATTTCATTAAGTATACTTTAATTATTCTAAATTTCCTAAGATAACTAAAGAAAAAGGTGTAACTGAATTTTAAATGATTTTTGAATTAACATTGATTTTTTTTTTTTTTTTTTTTTTTTTTTTTTTTTTGTTTACAAAATCAGACAAATGGTCGATAAATCGAATTTGTTAATTTTTTTTGCTTCAAGAAAAACGATTTTTCAAAAATTTTAAAAATATATAGGAAGGATTGAAAAATCTGGAAAAATATTTAAAAAATACTTTGGCCTTCCCTCTTTAATTCTAACAAACATTTACGTTAAAAAATTTTTTATCAATTTCGGGAACTTTTTCTCCAGGGTATACCACTTTTTTTACCGTTACCTGGGACAGTCCTCTGCCCGTTCTTCTTTGTGTCTAGTCCCTTCAGGATGTGAGTGATCATGGCTCTCCATAACTTTGTCCTTTGTAGCCCTTAAAGTTTGCTGGAATTGAAACAAAAAAGTATAAATTTTAAAACTGGCTTTGACGTGTTTCATATGCTACCTGTGATGATAGGTTTCAACTTTCAATAAATGACTAGTATAAAATCAAAAATAATTGCCGAAAAGCGTTTTCATTTTCTGTTTTCACTTTGTGACATTTTCTTGTTTGAAACATTTACTGGATGTTTGAGGAGATATCTATTGTAAAGAAAAAATTGACATCGTTTAATTTTTTGTATTTTTTCAATATCTGGATATACTGTGAATAAACTGTCCGAACGTCGAGCACAATACTCAACGCTGTATCCGAAAATGGGGGGGGATACAATAAAAAAAACTAAACACAGACCTTGTTGGTCCTTTTTAATCAAATTTGCTTAAATGAATATTTGCTGCCTCTTATTCACACATCTGTTGATGTCAACTTTTTTATGTGTAAATCTGTCTTCCATCCTCCATATGTAGCTTCTGGTAGGGTTAAAACCTACACTACCCTACCTTGTAGAAGAAACCACCCTTATAGCTCAGCATGTTTTTGATCATTTAACATTGACTTAACAGTCAAATACAATTCAATTACTCTAAGAAATACATGTTTTTGTTGTTTTTTTTTTTTTTTTTTAATCTCTTACAAAACCTATATCTGGTAACTTTTATTTACGTCTATCGACTTCAGCATGTTTTAAAGAAATTGTACATTTTGGTTTGAAACCTACTAGAAAGCACAATTTAGTCAGCCTTTCTTGAATATACAGGCCAGGAAATGTAAATTTACACTTAAAAGAAAAAACAATAAATATAACCTTTAAAGTAACATCTACCAGTGTCTGCTAGTTCATTTTGAATTTTGTGAATGAAGGCTTGACTTTATATTTGTATTTTTCAGACTGAATTTGCTGTGAAAATGTCATGTAACAGCTGTGTAAAAGCTGTTACCAAAGTATTGCAAGGAATTGATGGTAACCACCATTTTTAACCACTAAAAGAATTGTATGAACATGTATATATATTTGCAAATATTTATCCAACATCTTACTTAATACACCCAGAAAGCATTAATTTTAATGTATATTCTAAAATTCTGTAGTTCTGTTAATTCCAGATATTGAACACTTGAAACTAGTCAATTATCAAGATTGTTGTGAAAACTCCAGCACTTTGCAGTATTCATTCATATTACTTCCTTTTACAGGCACTTCTTTTTCTGTGAAGTATCCCTATTTTTGATTCCAGTTAAGGTTGTTTTTAGCTGTTTCCATAACGGGAAATGACAACACCACTGCAAAATTTGAACATGCTATTGTTCACTAATTGGAGTCACCTTCTAGAAGGCTAAAATGTTAGTTTCTTATTTTTCTTTCTTTTTAACATTAAACTTTATTTTAAAATATGGTTCAATGAGTATATTATTGTTGCCTGCTAAATTGGCATATTATGATTCTTCCACCGGATAAATGCTATTGTAGCGGTTGCTATGTTTCTCCATGCCCACATTTTATTTGTCTGCGATTGTCTAATAAATCAATACTACTTTTCTATAGGACAATTTAGCCATCGCAGTCATTTCTTTGAATCCTTCAGTTTTGAGCTTGCTTGCCTGTTTTGTTAGTACGAATGTAGTGATTGGTTTAATTTTTAACCAATCACATTTTAGTGCAACATTAACCTTTTCCCACGTTTCTGTGGGAGCCTAATCTTTTTCCTTAAAAGAGGCAACTTTTTCACAAGTCGTCAGTAGGATCCCGTAAATTTCGCCCGTCCAAACGAGTCCACGATCTTACTCATAATACTTCAAATGCGCGTGTGCGCGTGCACACACACACACACACACACACACACACACACACACACACACACACACACACACACACACACACACACACACACACACACACACACACACACACACAATTTTGTAATAAACTGACACTTCTCTCTGTGACTTAGCCAAGCTCAATCAACCAGGACTCTGTTAATTTTGAACCATTCTATAATGCAACATATTTCTGATCAATTGTATTCTTGTTATCTATTCTAATAAATACTTTTGTTCTAATATTGGTTCCTGAACATTTTCTCTCAAAGAACTTCCTTCGAGCAATCAATTACAAATCAAAATATAATTAAAGGGGAACAACTTCTTTCCCTTAATCTATACATTTAATACAATTTTATTGCATATTTGTTCTTGTATGTTATTTCAATATATACTTGTTGATTCAGTTTGGAGTATTTGTTGTTTACTTGAATCTTGTACATTGAAAGTATAATATAAATAGTATTGGTCCATCTACCCACTGGGCCATTACACTATTGCTGAGAATATAAATTCAATGTTACATTGTAATTTTCAGTTCACTACTTAATAACTTTATCAATTATTGTGAACTCAATACCTACAAGGATAGTTTATTCAAACTAAAATTATTTTTTTCAATGTAACTTCTTGTATATTTTGAATTTTACAATTATGCATCCAGTTAATTTTATGAAATATAGAAGTGAATTTACTTTTGACAATGAATTTTTAAAATAACACTTCTCAAATTTAGTTCAATTGTGAGCTATAAGTTACTTTAAAATACTTTAGGTGACTTCTAATATACTATTTATTTAAATGTTTAAAACTTATTTGAAGATTTTTTTTAAAGTTGTGTACCAATCTCACTCACCTCTTTAAGCAAAGGTTGCAGAAAATTTGTGTGTATATATATATATATATATATACACACACACACACATCTCCAATGTTTCCCATTTTTCTGCTTACTATTTTTGGTTTGTAAATCTTTTGTATCTTTTCTGGCTACTGCATTCTGTGTAGAAAGTTTGACAAAAGAATTAGGGATCTTTCGTTTCATTTTTCTTATCAGAAAATTCTCGAGAACTATACAAAGCATAGAAATTTTGATTTAAAAGTATTTGCTTAAAGATTGCAATATAGCCGTTAAGCTTATTCAATTTCCTGTTTATATAATTATTTATACGTAAGGGAGACTATTCTGTAATTAGACAAACTCTAAGTGACTCTCACTGCATTTTAAATTTTTAGTTTTATTTATACTTAATGGGAGACTAATTGATTTTCAAATCTAAATTTTACGGAAAAAATTATAGTGTAAAAGGCTTTGGAAGAGAAGGAAAAATTTAATTTATTTAAAAACTGATATCTTGTGGATCATTTTATAGTTTTTTTTTTTTTTTTTTTTTTTTTAGCATGGCTAAAGCAAAAATATTAAGTTGGAAATTTTATTAATGTTAATGCATTTTAATTGCATTTTCTAACAAGTCTGTTATATTTTATGGTAACATGCCCAAAAGTAAAAATTGGATAATTATATAGTTCAACAGTATTATCTAATGGTATTAACAATATAGCAAAAACCAAAGAAACTTACCACTTACAAATGGGTATTAAAATAATTTTTCTTTACTAAATATTCCATCTTAAATATAAATTTTGCTTTTATAAAACTTCTTGAACAACCTATTTGTTCAATTATATTTGACATATCTGCTTTTTCAATGTTGATATTTGGGTTGTTTTCTTTTCAAAAAAAGGTATCCAATCATTTAATATCAATCTGGAGAGGCAGCAAGTGATTATTGATTCCACTCTTCCTGCATTTAAGCTAAAGGAATTGATAGAAAAAACTGGGCGACAAGCAGTTTTAACAGGTTTTGGCATTACAAATACAGGTAATGTAAGTTTTTCATTACCATTTTTTTCTTAGGTAGATTTTCTTTCTCTTTTAGACCAGGGCACTAATCCAATTGACACCTTGCTGCATGCTTGAAGCGCATTTCTAATATCAATAGTTTTTACAATTACAGAAAAGCAGAAAATGTACTTGCATATGTAATATAAGATTTAACTACAATGAACAGTTGCTGCAGTGCAAGAGCCTATAGTCGGATTGTCCAAATCTACAAATGCAGTATCGAAAATTGACTTTCTAATATTTGAGATTTCATTTACAAAAACGTTGCAAAAAAAAAAAAACTGAATAACTGTCCTAAAGTAAATTACTTTTATATTTAATACAGATTAGATATCCTAATTAACATCTCTTTTGATGTTTGTATATCCACTAGCTTATGTAACCACATCCAAAATAGCATTTATTCAGGTAGCAAATTGGTTGTTCCACAAATGGACATGGAGGAGCCTAACTAATGTATCTACAAAGAAACTGTTGAAAATGAGTTTCTCTCTTTACACCACTATTCTGGTACACTTTAGCAATTTTGTCTTAAATTTTTTTCTTCAGAATTGATAAATGTCAAAACATTATTCTTGTAAGTGCAGGGTCTGATGGATAAATTATCTAAATTACACAAAAATGAAAATAACACTGACATTTCATTTAACATATATTTACTAAACTTGTACACAAAAATCTTTAAATACTGAAGAGTAAATTTATTCAATAAAATCCCCATAGGCTTCAACCACAGCCTCCAAGTAACTTTGGAGTCTCCTGTAACTCTTCTGAATGGTGTCCTTTTTTAAATTGGTGAATGCTGCCATGTTGGTATTACAAGATGTTGTGTTGGTCTCTTGCTCAACTGTGCCTCACACCTAAAGGGGTCGCAGTCTGGTGAGTTAGATGGCCAGATGTTAGGAGTTGACAGCCATGACTGGGTTATCCTGCTTGTGTGGCATGGTGCAGTCTTGTTGCCAGACATAGCTCCTTCCAGTAGCCACCCTTTTCACCCAGGGCAGTACTACTTCCTCAGGGCACTTGTTGTAGGTCTCAGTATTGAGTTGGCCTTTAGGAAGAGGAATGGAGGCATAACGTGATTGCAGCACACACCTTCATAATCACCCTTAGTTAGCCAACACTATCCAATTTTTGTATTGGAGCATGCCAAGTTTTCTGGTGACATGAATTGCATCATGGTGCTCTTTTTCTCACACTGTGCTCAACTGATCCTATACTGTGCAGTCAACAATCAAAAACATGCCTGCACAATTAAAATATAAAATGGTGACAATTTACCCATTGCTTGCACCCTGTAGTATAATAGTGTTAACATTTTCACTGTCAATTCCCAGAAAAATGTACAAGTCCAGATACCTGCAACTTATATTAATGTATTTATGGTAAGAGCAAATTAAAAATGCCTGGAAAAAGCTCAGTGTTTTGGTTAGTGGTGGTTGTTTGGTAGTTGTTGTTGAATGAATAGTTACTCTAGGTTATCATAAATGCTTTTTTTTTTTTTTTTTTTTTTTAAAGAAACTCACCTTGGAGCTGCAGTAGCTGCCATAGACACTGGCAACAATGTGAAGGGTGTTATTCGAATGGTGCAAGCTACTCCTGAATCATGTATCATTGAAGGAACTATAGATGGACTAACACCTGGTAAAAATACTGTGTGTATTCATCAACTTGGTGATATATCTGATGGATGCAACAGGTAAGTTACTGTTTGTGTATAGATATGTACTTGGTATGAATCATAGCTCCATCTTAGGGTAGAAAAAGAAATAAAATTGCTCAAAACATTACATCTGTAGAGGCAAAACTAATAGAAACTGCCTTCTCTATACAAAATTGCCAAAACACTACCAAATAAAGAATCTAGGAAATAACATAACAAATGAATCAAACATGATTAACAGAATTAATGAATTGCAAAATCTCATTAAAGCCTTAAAAACCATAACAAATATGGAAATCTTTCACTACCATAACCCAATAATTAAAAAGGAAAAGAATGAAACACAAATCGGTAAGAAAAAACAGACCTCAGAGACGAGAAAATACTGCCATAGGTGGTTGCATCAGGGAGGGTAATTGAATGTAAGACTGGATTCACCTTTAACTTGCCAAGGAAGGGCAACAACACAGAATGTACAGCATCAGTGAAAGCAACCAACCCTGACGAATTGATCTGGACAACATGAAAGGTTTCAACCTGATGCCATTCACCTCCACCGCACTGGGGGACTGATACAAGAGACAGATCAAAGATTGAAAGTATGGCCTTAAAGTGGCTAGCTTTGGGACAGCCCTCTGAAATCAATCGTCAACCCTATCAAATGCCTTGGACTGACCTGAATTGATCAGTGTGGCAGTTTCACTATTGAGTTGTTATATGATCAAGCGTACTAGATGAAGGTTGTCCTGAACAGTCCTACACTTCAGTGCAAGTTTGCTTGGGGCCAATCGGACTAGGCAGGACAGCCTGCAAATAGTTGGCTAAGACCTTAGCCAAAATCTTTAATTCTGTATTCAACATAGTTAAAGGCTGGAAATTATTAATATCATCCCCTCTGCTTTTCTACTTGCAAAGCAACTTGATCACACCTCTGAAGTATTTAGGAATTTTCTTTTTCTTCATCCATTGGTTAAAGACTAGTGCCATCAGAGAGATAAGCACATGCAACATCCTCCACTACACCTTATATGGGGGAGACCATCAATGCCAGCAAGCTTCAATGCACCCCCAGACTTCAGCCTCTAGGATAGGACCCTTGCACCCAGCCACTAGTTGCCTTGAGGCAAGGAAAGTCAGCTAAATAGGTGTTGAACTGAACTGGGCTCCTTGATAAAAAGATCCTGAAAATAAAATCTATAACCCTCACATATACTGTCACTTGTAGCCATGGTACGCCCATCCAGAAATGCAATACTCATGATGCATTGGTCTGCAATAATCTGAACTCACAATTCAGCAGCCATATTTGTTACCACAAAAGACATCCTTTTTTAATCTAGCCCTAACTACAAGAGCTTGGTCCTTCTTGAGAAGCAAGGAGGCCAACTCTGCTCTAGTTGCAGCTAATTCCCCACTATCTCCCAATTTTATAGCCTTTTCTACTCTAGAGTCTTGGGCCATTTGCTCTGCTAATCTCTTAGTTGAGCCACTTACTATAATTAACAGCAAATGACCTAACAGCCCACCACTTATCTCCAATCACAGAACCCTGTCAATTCTTGCATTAGTTAGTAAAAGCTGTTCTTGAAAATCATTCTCAACAAACAATGACACATTGAATTTCCAGTACCCAGCCATGCTAATCCTAGACTTATCTAAGTTTAGATGTACCCAGACAAGCCTATGGTCTGAATAAACTATGGAATGAAGACTTGGATAACCTAAGAACTGTCTACTCTCTTAACTCGCTTAGTCAATATAGCTTGTACATAACATTGAAGACAAGTTGCCCCTATTAGTCAAAGTACACACTACCTCCTGGGGATGCTCATTTCTGAACTTAAGATCCAGCCTGTCAAAGTCCCAAAATATTTTTACATCTGGATTCTTAGTACCCAATCTAGTCCAAGCAATCTATATTGGGATCAAGGAAGACATTCCAGTCACCCACTAAAATACTTGATGAGATGTTGGAAACTGATCGATCCACTGAAGAAAGGCAGCTCACTCCTGGTAGTCATTGGGTACATAAACCCCAATGAAACAAAATGCCTGATCTTTTATGGTAGCGTCCACAACACAGTCTGCCTGCTGAATCTGCAAGGATATGCATACACACAGCCTTCAAGGAACAGCTTACCAAGAAACCCCCTAGAACAGCCATCATAATACACTGAGACGTCAAACCTCTTTGACAATATAACATCATGGTTGTCTGAATGGAAACTAGTCTCTTGTAAAGCACATATCCACTCAAAGGCACTGAAGGTCAAAGTACAGTCTTGCCCTTTGAGACTTTGACCTCAGCCCTAGGACATTTAAACTGGCTAAAAATAGTGAAATTGTCAAACCAAAGGTTGTCTGTCAAACATTGAAGATATTGATGACCTCACCCATTGACCCCTGGCCCATTTCAGTCTTAATGTGACTGTCAATCACAAAACTTCATTTCCTATCTCCCAATATCCCATGGAAATTTAATTTAAATGATCTATATAGGGAGGGTGAACAAAAACTGGGGACCCCACCTCCACTCCCAGAGCAGAATTGTTTTAGTCTCTTAGTTTCCTCATTTTCCATGATTACTAATAAAGCGTAATTCTCCAGACGTATACTGTTGACTTTGTCGTAACACCCATTATGGTGTGCTTGGTTCTTTCCCTTTTTGCTCATTTTCTTTGCTTTCCTCTATGATGGGGACAGATGTATTTCTTACCTTTTATAAGTTCCACCTTTGGAAAATTTATTCTTTTTGTGCAGCCTTTTGGGAGGGAATAGCCTCATTGATTTGTCTGTTGGATCTGCCTTAGTGGCAAACCCAAACTGTTTTGAGGGTCCAACTTTGGTTGGCCATCTTGTAAAGTTTCTTTCTTTTTAAAGACAGAAAATGTCTTTGTTTTCAGGCCAATATTTCCACAGAAGGTGACAAATACAAATGAAATAAAACAAAATTAAAATGCAGAACAAAACACAAAAATAAAACTTTAAAGGCTAAAAAAAAAAAACTTTTCCATTGAATAGTTAGATGCAAAAAAAAAAAACAATATGAAAATTAAAACAAATTATAGTGTAAAAAGTTAAAATGAATTTGGCCAAAGCTGAAAAAAGTAAAATCTGAAAACAAAATGTACACAACAAAAGATAACAAACTTTGTCAAAATAAAAACTTAACAAATTTCCAAATAAGTCCTTGTATGTAAATGCAATTTTTTTTTTTTTTTTTTTAATAAAAATCACAACTTTAAGCATTTTGATTAAATAACTAAATTTTACAAGCTATTCTTCAGGGTACTGTTTATCATAATTTTAAAAATTCTTTATTTTTTATCCATATAAAGAATATTACCACTTGAGTTAAGTCCTTAGAGTTTTTAGTCTTTATAAAACATTTTCACTTATTACCTGTCTTGTATCAGAACTAATTTTTGAGCTTATTTTTATTTTCCTTTTTTAGTTTGATAAACAAAATACATATTGAATGTTCATTCAACTTTAACCAAAAAAAATTACAAAATAATTTCCTTTTTTTTTTTAAAATATTAATTACCATTAGATCCAAATATTTTTCACATATAACAAACATCTAAGTTTGTCATTCATTTTTCATTCGTTTCATTCACAGGTTTAAAAATGTATGCATGCACATGCATACAGGCTTCATTAATAGCCTCCCACTATTGAAAAAGCAAGTGATTGTACTAATAATGTAAACTCAGTTGTCTTAATTTTATTTTTAAATACTAATTTGAAGTCTTTTAATGCTGAAGTATTTAAATTTCAGCTGTGGGGATGTTTACAGTATTATTGAAAGTTTCAATAAGGTAAGTAATGTTATTTTTACACAAAATGGGAATTTTATATTTGTCTTTTTTTTTTTTTAACTTTTCTACAGTTGTAGCAATAAGATAGCATAGATTAACAGAATAGAAAAAATATCAGCAATCCAAGTTTGAATTCTAACTTCAGCTGTTAACATACTTATATTGCTTAAAAAGATAAGAATCTACATCTCTGCTCTGTCCTATCATTAGCTATCTTGATAATGATCTTATTACTGATATTTCAGAATAGTAGATAAGTGAGCACTTAGGAAAACCACTCACCTTTAAATACCTTACCTGCACAAGCAGTAATAACAGTAAATAGCTGACTCTCATAGTCAACCTTAACAGGCCCCAGTAATCATTTTAAAATATATATATAAAATGGTATCTCAAAATCCAGCCTCCTTGATTTATGCAAGACTTGGGCATTCCTGGTTGAGGCAGGCAAAAGGCTCCAGGCATTTGAGAACAGGAGCTTGAAAAAAGCCCCATTGCATCTTCTACTGGGAGTACAAAGCCAGTGACTGTATGGAACAAGGTCAAAGATCTTGTGAGCCAACAGGAATAAATCCTAGCAACTATTAAGCATTGTAAGACATCCAATTTTGGCCACATCATATAGCATAAAAGCCTCTGCAAGACCATCATGCAAGACACTGTTGAAAGTAGACACAAGTGGGAATGGCAACAGAAGAGCTGGTCAGACAAAATCCAAATGGGCAGATATGACAATGCTGGAACTCCTGAGAGCCTCTGCCAGTGGGAAAAGGTTGTCTGTTTCTTTTACCCTTAGACCCTCCCACCCATACAATTGAAGCCTTCAAGGGGCTGATAATATGACCTCCAGAAAACCTGGATATATAAAAATGTCACTAAGATAATGCATTTCAGTGGCATATGCAGTAACCTTTAATAAGTATAAAAAAAGAAAGTGCATTTTGTCCCTTAGGACTTCATCAGAATAAAGTAAATAGTTCAAATAACCTCTTCAATTCCTGTGTTTCTTATGTATTTCATTAACAATCAGAATAAGTAATAAATTCCAAGTTTTAACTTTTCTCTTTTTCCACTTTTTTTTCCCTAACATTGTTCTAATATATAAAAGTTTATGCATTATATTCTGCTACAGTATTTCTAAGAATTACTGCAGTCATTTAAATGACTGCAGTAATTCTGAGAAATATGCATGTTGGGAAATAGTGTTTTACAATGTTGTATATTCTGTTTAATATATGCTTAGTATAGTTCTTGCTTATTGAAGACCATGTTCCTGCTAAAGTTTAGTCATGCCAGACTAAAGACTGACTGACTGAATTGGAGTGTGCAGAAAATATTTAAGTGTCTGATAGAAAATAATTTATTCAATGTATTGAATTTTTTTTGTTCAATATAGTGGGATCCTGAAGTGTTCTGTCTTCCCAAAAGGCCCTTGAAAAAAATATTGTCCCATATCAGGAAATTGACTAAGCAAAGAATTTTTCAACATGCTCATCTAATTTACTCCTGTATTTAATTATTACATACTTTCTTGGACTCAAAAAGTATGTATTATATTTGACTTAAAACTCTTGCAAAAAATTAATTTTATTAAATTTCCTTGTATCAAAATATTAACCCCAATTTTTTTGTGGGGGTATATTTAACCTTTGTGCCCAAGACTGTCAAAAGATTATTTCTTTGTCACTGCTATTATCTACATCTCCCTTCATTTTTATAAATTTATAAATTGAATTTTTTCAGATTTCAATATAAAATAGTAAATATTTCATGGTTGGTTCAAATATTTTTATCTTGTAAATGAGTAATCTAATAATTACTGTTTAATATCTTCCTCAATTCTCATTGTATAAATCTTTCATATGTTTGGGTTTTATAAATTCTAATCATTGCTTTTAAGAAATAAACATTGTGACCAAATATGGCTTGACATTTTATTTACATGGACATTATATATAGTGCTGATCAGCTGTGCTGGCTATTACTACAACAAATCTCATTAACCTTAGAAAATCTCATTGCTGCAGGACTTATTAGCATTACACTATTAACCATAACAGTAAAAATACTTAAAACATTAAAATACCATATTATGGGAAATCCTTTTTGTAAATATATAAATTGCAAATTAACATTTAAATTGCATTGGCATCCTTTCCTAAATCCACTTTCAAGACCTTGTTGAAAGTGGACATAGGATCAACATAATGGACAGGTATGACTGTCAAAATTGCTGATGGCTGCCATTGATAGATTGTGTTGTCGAGGAGATTCAGTATGGTTTCTGTATTTGGATCCGCCACTGCCACCCACCCCTACAAATATCAAGGTGATGATGAAATTGTAAATATGCTATTTTCTTTCTTTTCCAATTTAATTCTGTTACTTAGGACATAGGCAATCATTGTTCTACCAAATTTTTCTTAATTTGTGAATTGTGACTTCCTAGACCATTTACCATCCAAGGCTACCCTGTTAATTAGCCCATAATTTATGGGGTTGAGAAGTTTCATGCCTTATACAGAAGTGCATACTAGGACAACAAATTGCTTGCTGAGTTCACTTGTGCCAATAAAGGCTTCACTACTTGTACAAATATTAAAATCTTAGTAAAGTTATGTGATGAATAAGATTTATTCTTACTATAAATCTTAACAACCTCAGTATAGAATTTCCATCATATTCATTCAAGGAAGTACGCCAACTCTTTAGCATATTGCAATTTCTAGTATCTCTGTACTTTGGGGAGAATTAAGTAAAATTCAAGTTATTTACTATTGGAGGTTAACTACAAGTGGCATAAACTCTAGAAAGCAAACCTGGTTAAGTTGGACCATTGTATTTACTTATCTCACTAAAACAGAAAATGATAAAAAGGTCACATTTAATGTGGTGGGCCCTACATGTTTATGGGTATAAAAAGATAAAACAAGTCCAGCCTTTTCTAGATCACAAGGGGATCCCAACCTGAAATGCAAGAACCTATTAGTGTAACAATTTTTGCATCCAAAAATCTATGATGTACAACTGATATAAACTTTTTTTATATATATATATATATATATATATATATATATATATATAAACTCGTTTGTATATGAAATACAAAAAAAAATCACAGTACAAAATTTATAAAATTTAAATTTATAAATTGTGAAATTGTCTAAGACTTTAGATACAATAATGTTAAAATCTTAGTATCTTGGTTTCAAAATGATCTCCAAAGAACATCAAATTTTTATATATTGCCACTGTTATTTTTTCTCTCCAGACAACTGGAAATATACAGGCAGTAGATACATCTGAAGATGGCAGAGCAACATTTCATAAAGAGATCAAAAACTTGAAACTCCATGAGATAGTTGGACGTTCAGTTGTCATTCATGAAGGTGACTTAAATGCTTTGGAAAAAGGCAGTACTGTTAGGTAAATATATCCTGTAATTGTAAGTTATTTCATTTGCATCTGTAGAACTTATAGAAAAAACTTTAATTTTATGTTCTGATGACTATTAAATTACTTGTGAAAGTCAGTTAATCTCTATTGATGTCACATTATCTCACATATCTGTGGCAATTAAATCTTATTTTTCCATTGTGCAACCCACATAAATCTAGTCATGTTTAGTACACTGGGTGATGTATATAAAATGGAAATTGAACAATTGCTATCTTCTGAAATGTTTCTCCTTAAATTTGTGATAGGAAGTAATACACAACACTTACCATATTACACATGAATTGGAATCAAATATGGATTCACATTAGCTGGTGGTCTGTTTTTCATTGGTCAGGTAGACCTTGTGTGTGCAGATGCACATCTGGATTCTAGTGAGCATTTTTGTGTCAGTCTGGTAAGTAATGAACATGCTTTATGACAAAGAAAATATCTAGGAATATTAATATTTCCCATCAATACACATGCCAGGCATGCTAATTTATTTTTACTTTTTATCACCAACTTTCATAAAACCCCTACTTAAAGAATATAAAATCAGATACCTGTGGTCAATGTAACATTTCATTCTCACACACCAAACATCCTCCAAACATGCACACTAGCACAACCAATTCCTGCAAGACCAAACTAAAAATGATACACATGTATATCATCACCCTACTATGATCTTCAGGAATTAAACATCCTCACAACCAAGCTGACACTAACACCACAAAACACAAGGTCTATCTGACCAATGAAAAGAAAAAAACTCAAGTTAACAGTACTTTCTCTTAAATAACTCATTTCCAATAATTAAGATTAGAAGCAGAACATGGTAAATTTATAAATTTTTCCATTGATACTATGCAAATATTTGTTACCAGGAAATCTTGACTGTTTACATATAAAATTGTATTCCAATTTTATCTTTTTCAGAGTTGGTTGTGGCATAATTGCACGTTCTGCAGGAATCTTTGAAAATGCTAAAATGTTGTGTGCCTGTGACGGTGTCTCTATTTGGGATGAACGCAACAGACCAATTGCTGGTGTTGGAAGATCAACTATAGAAACTCCATCTGCCAAAATATAAAGTACTTTTTTTCAGAAGTAAAAATATTCCAATGTCCCTTTCAGATCACATTAAAGGGTTAAGGGAATTCCAAATTACAAGGTAAAAGGTATTTAAGTTTTATTTGTCACATCAACTTATTTAACTGTATATACAGTAAATTCACCTATGCCATTTGCCTCTTCAGGAGATTGTTGATCATGGCTTTCCACAATTTGCTATCCTTTGTTGCTCTTAGTAATTTGTCTTTTTGCTAACTTTTTTAAACTCTGTTCTGCCAACCATTTACACAAGCTTGTTAGGTAGTTTATGGACCGTTTCCCTCATGCTTTTGTAATCAATGTCCTGTGAATGTCAGTTTCTAAGCTTCTCTTTCCTCATGTGCACCAGAAATTTCAACCCTTTCTGATGTCCGTGTTCTTTTGTTTCCATTTTCTCTAGAACCTATTCAGTTTATAGTATTCTCAGTGTCCTTCTGCAGAACCACATTTATATTACTTCATATCTTCTGTTAGATTGTCCAGCATTCACCATCATAAAAGTGGACTGAACTTGCAGAAGATCTTACTCTTAGTTTCTAAAAATTTTCCTGTTTAAAACTTTGCTTAGCTTTTTGGAAGGCATATTTTGCTATTCCAATGTGTCTTTGGATTCTGATGTTACACTTTTCATCCTGTTAAAACCCTTTCAATGTGTTATTTGCAATGTTGCTCTGTTCCTTTGTGACCATGCATTCCATCTTCTTGCAATTGATTAGTCCTCACTTCACTACATTCTATAGGAGTTCCTGTAGTTTTCATTTTAGGTCTGTTATCAACACTCATTGGCATATCTTATTTTAAAATTGTGACCAACAATAATGAATTCTAGTAGGATTTCTAGGTTCTAATTTCTAGGTTGAATAACACATGTGAGAAGACTTTGTCCTACATTCCTCTATTTTTGCATATTTATTCCATTGCATACCCATATGCAGGCAGTTCACTCCCAGTATAAGTTGTGGATTATTCTTATATCCTTCTCAAGTATAACAAGTTTATCTAGCAGTTCCAACAATTCTTTGATATACTTTATCAAATCCACATCCTTTTGCATTGCTCTTTCTGATATCATTCTGAGCATAAATATCACATTTCTTGTTCCTGTGTCTTTACTGAACTTGTCATATCCTATTTCTGGCTTAATTCTACTGCAAAATCTATTCATCAGAATTCAGATAAGTTTTATGATATGGCTCATTAGTCTGGAGTTCATATTCATTTGCACCTAGTTTCTTAAGCAGAATTATGAAAATGAATTTACTTAGATCTTCTGGTATAGCACCACTGTTGTATATTTTGTCAGTAACCTTGTTAAAGCTGGAACCATCTAAAACTGCCAGCATTTCCATTACAATTCCATCTTGTTTTGTTTCTGTTCAATTTGGCTAGGGCTGATTTCACTGCAAATTTTAATACTTCTACATATTACCAGTTGATTCATTGTGGACAACTTCTCCAATGTATTCATTCCATCTCTGAAGTATTTTCTTTCTTAATTATTAGTGCCCCATCCTTGGATTTTGTGCATCCTTTTAACAGAAAGGTCTTTTGTTCTATTAGTTCTGTTTTTATGCATATCTGTAAGTCATTCTTTCTATTACCAAATACTGTTCATAAAAACAATTCTTTGTGCATAGTCCTATATTTTATGCCATATCTTTCATCTGGTCAAATTTTTTTTTTGGGGGGGGGATGTTTTCAGTTGCTACTAAGGTTTTTATTAATGTTTCTCAATTCAAATTTACATTCTCCATTTTTTTTTTTTTTTTTTTTTTTTTTTTTTTTTTTTTATCTATTACCGTCCATATATTTCTCATTCATGTTTAGGTTATTCAGGAGTCTGTTGTATTGGGTGCTGTCTTGGCCCTCTTTAATTTCTATATGTTCACTCCTGTTTACATATCACTGGAAGGTGGTCACTCCCACAGCCAGCACTTGGTTATGCTTTGTAATGTAGAACTGCATTTCCAAACAAGTCTCCTTTTAGCCAGCAAAGAGGTTTTCTCACTTTGATAGTGACTGCTTCAACAATTTTAAGGATCTTTTTACACTTTGCATGGATTAGTTTTCTTTGTGGCAGTTTTTGGTACTGAGAACCCAAAACTAGAACAATTGTAAATACACATGTAAATTAATAAATTGATATTGATACTTAATATTAAGATGTTTACATGCTATGATTTTAATTATCTCTGCACATCAATGATTAATTTGGCTCATTATCCAAGCATAAATTGCCATTCTTCTAAATTCAAATGTGGCCAAGTCATTGTTCATTGTTTAATGGTGTGGTTCTATGGTTTCTGTTAAGTTTGATAGATTTTCTTTGCTGATTGTTCTGAGTCATCAGATAAAGATCTTTTTGTAGAGATTTATACCAAATCTATTTTCCATTAATGGTTTTGTCTACAATACTACATGAGGATGCTTGTAGAATTGAAAATTTTAGTTTTCTAGCCCAAGCTTCTGGATTTGAAAGCTGATGTTGCAAATCCTTCTCTATTGGCGATGTTGCTATAGTATCAAGAAACTACCCAAAATGTTGCATGATTTTCATCTACTGTCTCCACTTAATTTTACAACAACCAAATTGTACTACATCACTTTAGTAAGCATATCCAATTTTTCATTAATCCAGATAATGAACTTGTCAGCATAAGCTCAACTTGTTTTTGGTTCTTGCTAATGAGATGTCATTTTACATGGCCATCATGGGGTTGTTGCTGGCTCAAAGAAATGTTAAAGATTTAATATGCACAAAATAACTCTTAAATCTAATAAGTACTTCTGCAATATTGAAATCATCCTTTCAGTTGGCATTAGAATGATTTCTGAGCTTAGCAACAGTTTGTCGTTGTGAATAACTTATGAAACAAGATAGAGAAATGCTTATTTGTTGTCTGATTTTCTGGGATGAAAAGTTATAATTTACACTATTCAAATGTGGACTTTTTATCACATTTTGGTCATCTTCCATACTTCATTAAGTCTGTCAATCCAGATAATCTATGAGGAATGCTGAATTAAACCCATTATTTAATCTATGGAGGAAGACACTTGTTCCACTGCACATATCTAGTATCATTTTTTTTTTTTTTTTTTTTTTTTAATACTGCTGTTATTGCTCACTGTTTCCAGGTCCCAGGAGACGATATCCTATTGGATAAAAAACATTGGTTTGTGAATTTGGTGGCATAGTAAACAATCACTAGGCCAGGAAATCTATGCTTGGCTCTGTGGAAAGAGAATGAGCAATAACTAAGCAGTAATAAAAAATAAAGAACTAGATTAGATATCCCTAGACATGGGCAGTAAATAAACTAATCACATTTAACAGCTGAACATTCTGGCTTCATAAAATATAATTTATTCTATACCTTTTCACTTTGTTTGAAAATAACTTTCTAAATGGAACACTAAATTTAAATTTGAAAATAGTAACATTTGAAACAAATAGAAAATATAATTTTATAGAAGAAAATGATTGAATCTTTATAAATAAAGTATATGAAGATGCTATCTTGCAGATTTAAGGCTTTCATGATTTTGTCTTGGATGCATGTAGTGAGATTTTATATAATTTTCTAGGGTTTGGAGCCTATGCACTTTGATGCTCAGGCTTAACCCTTATCTCTTTAGAATTTCTTGGGTATTTTTAACCATTTCCTCTTTACTTCAGCTTTGAAAATTGAGCAAACATTCTCAATTAGATTAAGCATGGATATAAAATCTAGCCTCAAAATTGGATCATCATTGAGTTTTGATGACTTTAATCCTATCAGATATGAATGTCATTAGTTTAAAGCAATACTCTTCTGTCAAAATGGTTTCTTTAATGAATGATGCTTAAGCAATTATTAAATCTTCTTTGGTTGGACAATGTTTTTTCCATTATGAATTTGTAACTTTTAGATCCAGATTGTTCCATGACATTGATATATTTTTCCTTTCTTGAAGAAAAGCTTTAATCCCCTTTGTTCTGTGATATGATTTCTTATCCTGAAAAATAACTCCCTTGCCAAATTATTTTTATTGATAAGATGGGAAAGTTGTATAGGATTTCAATGTACACCTGTGCATTGATTAAGGTAATGGTTATTATCTTTGTCCTTTTAAATGACCTGCAATCTCATATTATGCATGATTTGTTTTCTAGTAGTCATTTTTATTTGAAAAGCTCCAGACAAATGGTCATCCATTTTTGCCAAAGCAGATTTTTGATTCATCATTGAATATTGCTTTCATCCAATCATCCATGGTTGTTTCTCTTTAACCTACATTAACCTCACTTTCTTCTGTTTGTGTGTTAGTGATGGTTTTTGTTTGGCTTTTCTGTATGTAAACCCCAATTCCTTCAGTTGATTTCTTAGTTTTGTCACAAACATTGACTTGTTTTGACCAATTTGTTGTACCTTTTTCTATTTTTAAGGTCACTTTCAGTTTTCTATCTTCCTTGATGCACCAGTATGTTTTTTTTCTTGTCTTGCTGAAGTGTTTTGCAGCAGCATTTCCTTCATTACATTCCTGCCTCCAGTTCCTTTAGTTACTTTCTCCCCCTCCCCCAATTGTTAGGTCATGGCTTTCTTTGAATCAAAGATGTTAATGTTTAAATTGTTCTAAAAATAATCAGACAACTATGAAATTTTTCAACAAGAAATTTGGACTATCAAGTTTCTAGACCAGTGGTTCTTGCTTATCACATTTTTCCTCTTGCAGTCTTTCATTTCATCTCCATTTTGAAATATCGCTTAATAATTTCATTATTCATTATTACTTTTAAAACAGTTTAACACCAGATGTATTTATTTGCAATCAAATGAAAAAATCCTTTATTCAATTCTCAAATATATTGTTGGAGACCAAAAACATTTTTCATTAAAAGGAAAACAAATGGTGGTAATTCTTACAACAGTTTCCATTGAACTTGATGCCCATTTGAACATGGATACAAGGGGAACAAAACTAGAAAACTGAGAAATC